GGTTTGGTGTTTTGATTATTATGTGCCGAGGGGACTTCTTTTTGTGGTCCAGTCTATTTGGTGTTCTGTAAGCTTCTTGTACTTTCATAGGCATATCCTTCTGTAGGTTGGGGAAGTTTTCTTCTATGATTTTGTTGAATATGTTTTCTGTACCTTTGAGCTGTATTTCTTCACCTTCTTCTATACCTATTATTCTTAGGTTTGGCCTTTTCACGGTGTCTCATGTTTCCTGGATATTTTGTGTTAAGGATTGTTGGACTTGAGATTTTCTTTGGTCAATGATTGTATATCTTTTAGAGAGTCTTCAAAAACTGAGATTCTCTCTTCCATCTCTGTATTCTATTGGTTATATCACATCTTTAGTTTGTAATCGTTTATCCAGCCTTTCATTTTCCAGCATCACCTCATTCTGTGTTTTCTTTATTGTTTCTATTTCAGCTTTCATGCATTGAATTGTTTCAAGTGCTTCCTTCGCTTGTTTGGTTGTTTTTTTCTTGGCTTTCTTTAGATTCTTTGAGAGATTTGTTTACTTCTTGAATTCTTTGGTTTGTCTTTTCCTCCATCTCATATAATTTTTTGCTTGTTTTTTCTTCTATTTCTTTAAGGGATTTTCTTGTTTCCTGTTTAAAGGACTCTATCATCTTCCTAAGATAATTTTAGAGGTCCATCTCTTCTTCATGCTCTGTGTTGGGCTTTTCAGATCTTGCTGTTGTGGAGTCCCTAGATTCTGGTGGTGTTATATTGGTTTTTCTGTTGTTGAGTATGTTCTTACTCTGTCTTCTTCCCATCCCTTCTTCCAGTGAGTGCAGGTGCAGTCTCTCCCCCTGGTGGCAGGTGGAGGGCTCAGCCTCTGGTGGCAGCCGGATGGCAGAGGTCGGTGGGTGGACAAGGGTGGGGTGTGTCCGGACTCATGGTGGGCCTCTCGGTGTGGGCAGGTCCACGCTTGGCCGGGTGGCCTCAGGCAGAAGTGAGCAGGGGTTGATGGGGGAGGTTGGGGAGCAGAGCAGCGCCCAGACTCACCTGAGTCTCTGGTGCCCGCCGCCGCTGCAGGACAGAGGGCAGAGTGTAGACAGGGGTGAAGTGTGTTGAGACTCAGGGTTGGCCTTCTGGTCTGGGCAGGTCCACTCTTGTCTGGGTGGGCTCAGGCAGAAGCGAGCAGGGGTTGATGTGGGAGTTTGGAGGGGCAGAGCTGCACCCAGACTCACCTGAGGCTCAGGCGCCTGCCACAGGACAGAGGGCGGAGTGTCGACCTTGAATATACTTTTAGGGACTGGGAGTGTAACTCATTGGTTAAGAGTACTTGACATGCAATTATGAGGTCTTAAGTTCAAACCTCTGTGCCTGTGTGACAAGTAAAGCATGACTGCATGTGCCTGGAACCCAGCAGTGGGGTGAAGAAAGGAGAGCTCGCCAGATGAAAGCTCCTGGCCAGCCAGCCTGGCTCACTTAGTGACAGATCCTGTCTCAAAGGTATAAGGTGGAGATAGGGGAATAAAATAAATAAAATAGACACCTTTCTCTGGCCTTATAATGTACATTTGTGGGCACAGGTGCATACAACACACACACACACACACACACACACACACACACACACATTGAAAATATATTTTATCTAAGACTATACAGCAGTCTAGCATACTGTGGATGTTTAATGGTCAGATATTTTCATTGCAGAGGACAGAAGGATTAAATGGCAGAAACATGACTAGAAAGTGCGTGTTAGAAATGTTTCCGTCAGCATCTGCTACTGACAGGTGCTCAATGGTTGTTGGAATCCTTGTCAGCAAAGAGGATCCTTTGACATTAAAGTCACCAGCTCAGTCCTGATTTGGGGTGACTCTATTGGCAGTTCCATCAGACTGCAGCTTATCAGTGAATGTCAAAGCTGCAGATGCTTTTCAGGAGTGTCACCAGCCCCCTGTGGGGTTGCTCCCCTCCCTCTCCTTTTCCCTCCTTCTTTCCCACTCTCTATCCTTCTTTCCTTCCCTCTGTCCCTCTTTTTCTCCCCTGCCCTTTCTCCCACCCTCCTCTGTGTGTGTGTGTGTGTGTGTGTGTGTGTGTGTGTGTGTGTGTGTGTGTGTGTGTATGTGTCTCTCTCTCTCCCTGTCTCTCTCCCTCTCTCCCTCTCTCCCTCTGTCACTGTTGCTTTTGCTCTGTTGCTTTCTCACTCAAGCCCCAGCTCTCTCTCATTGCTCTCAAATAGACTTCAAATGCTTACCGAGAAATAAGCTGATAGGCCATGGGGAATATAGATGTCTTTAGAGTATGTAAAACCATACTAAGTGATGACTTACATGGAGACTGCTAATGATTACCTGGAAACCAAGCCAGTCAATGGTGGGAGCACCTGGGGACTCATTAAATGGCATCTGTGGACTCTGTAACCTAGGTTTTCAGCTGTGTTTCAGGAAAAGCAGTGACAGCCTTTAATGTCTAATTGACCTCTTCTCTTTGTTTCACGTTCGTTCATTTTCTGCCTTCGCCTCTGATGTGGTCCCTGACGGCAGCAAACAGCACTGCTGAGCATTTTGAACTTCTGTGCAGAGCTTCGGCACCTCAGCCTGGGCAGCTGTGTGATGGTGAGTGCTTGAAAAATCCTTCATTCTCAATGGCTTATTCTCTTCTTGTTCCCATGGGTGAGGTTTACTTGACCCACCCCACCAAATACATATCCACATACTTTGTACCCCACATTCAAACATTCTCCCCCCCCTTACTTTGGAGGGTATGTCTTTGAAGCAGTCTTTTTGGTGGAGGGAGTGCTGCTGCAGGCTGTTTACCTGTCTGGATCCTTTACAAAAAGTGTTGGGCAGGTATCTCACCCACATAGCAGTGGTTTAGTGAGGTTTTCACAAAACTCAATTTAAATCTTGAGATTAATTCTTATAGGTATAATAGAAGATAGGTGTGTTGTTTCTTTGTGGTTTTTTTTTTTTTTTAAACACTTCTTTATCAGGCACAATAAAAAGATGGATGCCCCGTGTTAGGACTCAGTGGGATTTTGTTTGTTCTTTTTAAAGTTTTCCTAGTCTGAAATTCAGATGCCTGATTCTTAAATTAGGAAACTTCTCAAGGCCTTCAATGTTTAAACTGTGGCTTTATATGTCCTGGTAGCAGTAATGAGAAAATCTGAATTTGCTAATCTAAACTATATAGTTAAATTGCTTATAAATTATTCTGACATTTAAGGGATAGTTGAGCTGTTGGGATGTGTGTGAGCACACCTACATATGCAGAGAAGTGAGTCTTCCTGTGAGCAGCCCACTGTTATGTCCTCCAGTGCTTGTAACCAAAACAGATGTGGGTTCCCAGACGCGTCCAGCACTGCATCCACTTAGGTGCAGGCCCTCAGTAATTGGACAGTTGGGGAAGTCTGGAATCCTAGGCTTCCCTATAAATTGGACATCTTCATAGGTTAGCAATTACTTCAAAGATATCCAAAAAGTTGACAGTGTAGTCTAGACAAACCTCTTAGAGTGATGTATGTAAGGTAGTTTCACAGCTCGTGCTCTCTAACCTCCATGCCTGGGTCTTATTTAAGTGCAAGTATGGACACAAACAGTCCCAGTTCCCAGAAACAATCTTGAGAAACCACTGGATTCTCCTATGTCAAGTCAAATTCTTACTTTTATAAGTCATTTCATAGACTTCTTTAGATCTTACCAGTAGCTAGCTGTTCTAGAGGAGCCCAGTAGCCCTTGATGCCAATTTCTGTGACAACAGATTTGCTGCTTTTCGCTTTCCATATTGCTGTCATGCTCCACTAAGATTGATAGGGCCCTATCACATTTTACTGAAAATATTCTATTCTGTTTGTTATCTCCACCCCTTTCTTAAACTGGAGCACCATTCTCTGGGAAAGCAGACCTCTGGCCATAGCTTGAGTCAGAATTTGTGTGTTTGTGTGTGTGTGTGTGTGTGTGTGTGTACATAAATATTTATAGTTAAAATCACAGTGTTTCCCAGAATTTGTCTGTGAAAAATTAGCCCTGAAGAATATTCAGTTATAAAAGAGTTTACTTGTAAGTAAGAGCAGCTCAGGGATTCTTAATCAAACTTAGGAAATGACACTGGTGTGTTTTCCTTTGGAGTATTACCTTAGTATTTTTCCCTATGAAGAAACAGTTTGTGTTTGCTTAATCCTTGCTTTAACGTAGCACCCTGTAGGAAATGGAGCCTGTCAGTAAACAGGCGGTTTTTTAAATGAAGTTTGTGGTTACCAGTGAGATGCTGCTACACTGATCCATCCTGCTAACATGCCTAGGTCCTCTTCTAGTTGCCAGCACTCTTTGGAAACTCAGTTTTCCTGTAATGTGTGAAGAGAACAAAATGATTATTTTGAAGAGATGTTTGGGTCTTCAATTTAAAGTCATGGGGATTTGTTTTATTTTTAGAGTACAAGTTTACTTTTGTTTATTTTTTTCCATTAGCTTAAATCCCCACGGAGTATGGTACCACATGAACTCATGTCCAGTAGCTTTGGCAGGAAGGTTGTTTCAGAATTTGGCAAGAACTGCACCCCTGTTTCCAGATTACTCTGGTTTTGCTTGGTTTGCCACTAGGCTTTTCTGTGTTTTTGGTCTGGTGTGCATCGGCACACCTCTTTCCCAAGGAGAGCTCAGCTTTATTTCAAGCATAAACAGCATCAGCTCTAATTGTCTGTATCCTTTCCCTTTGGAAATGGACTTATAGCCAGCACCACATAGAAGCCGTGTTCCCAGCATACCTGCAGAGGTGCTGGGACACCATCCATATGCAGCCAACTTATCGTAATATTTCTTAATGTAATTTTTTTATCATAGTAAAACAGTAGCCCCATAGGTAATAAAACCTCATAGCAATCTGGAACTTGCCTTAATAATTCATTTCATTTTTTCATCTTTAAAAATCTTTCAACAAGTTTATAAGCATATTGGTTAACACCAGGTGAAACCTAACAATGACTTCGTCTACAAGATTGTTTATTTCTCTTACCTGTAAATGGAGTATGGGAGTAAAGAATCCAGGCTGACTTGTCAGCTTGACAGCTCATTCCTCTGAGAGATCTAGACTCTACTCTTGAAGACTGTATGGTTCACATATTTGACCTCAAGGTTAGGACCAGAGCTCCAGCCATCTCATTCCCATGTCAGACTCTAAGGAAGGGACAAAGGCACTGTACTCTCCCTTCAGGCTCTTTCTAGAAGTTTCATGTCTTTTCAGATTACTTCATACTACCCAGAATTCAGTCGTATGGCACACTTTGTAGCATGGAAGCTAAGCAATATAGTCTGTGTTCTGAGTAGTCATGAAAGTAGTAAAAGCAAAAACTTCAGTGAATGGATTTCTGTCTTTACTTTCTACCCGGTAGGTACCAGGAAGAGGAACAAATGTGTAGAAAGAGAACACATGTAATACCCCAAGTACTCTACATTCATCAGTAGCTTCTCTTGTTGTGCTGAGTAGTCTAGTAGCTGATGGCCAGATGAAAATACACTACTTTCAATTTGTGCATGATGCAAATGTAAGATACATGCCAAATTTTGAAGGCTTAGTATCAAAAAATGTAAAACATTGCACTATCTTAATGTTGAATGGTAGTGTTATGAATAGAGAATGTGTATTGTTGAAATTCATTTTCTTTCTTTTTGCTATTTAAAGGATGATTAAGTGTATGTGCTCTTTGCATTATTTGGTGTTTCTTGGAGTAACTTAAAGTTGTCTGGAACCAGCTTGCATTTCCTTAGGTTTCCTGTTAAATGTTTGCCCCTAGTCAAGTTAGCTGTCTTCTTTCTGATAGTTCCTTGGAGACATCTGTCATATTTTTAAAAAAATAGATAATGAAAGCCAGACATGGTGACACATGCCTATAATCCCAGAATTTGAGAGACTGATACAGGATGATTGGGAGTTCAAGGCCAGCCTGGTGTAGACACTGATACCCTTTGTCTCAATAAATAACTAAATAAGAAAGCTGTGCCTAAACACTTTTCACTTATTTCAGCAATTTAGAATAAGGTGTAATTATTAAGAAAAGAGGTAGGTTGCTTTTAATTTAGCAAAGCTAAGCAGTTAGATTGTTATGTTTTTAGCCATGTTGTTCTTGTTTTTTAATGATGGTGTGGAAAACTTGCAACCAGAACTGTTGGAGTAATTTCACATTTGTGGTGTGCTGGTAGAGAATCATTCTGCGTGTGAGTGAGTTTCCCAGAGGCAGAATCAGCACCATAATAATCATGGCTGTCAGAAAGTTCTGTTGCGTCTTTTAAAGATACTAATTGGATGTGCTAATTACCAGCTGTGTGTTATTCAGGTAAATTCACTTGTAGAGGTGGCTATGTTCCCCCAACCTGTTTGTTGTAGACTTTACTTGAGTCCACCAGATATGCTTGATTTGTTAGACCAGAAGCTTAGAAGTCACCTACCTGCTGTGTCAGTCTTTAGTTCCTACTCAGAAGCATAGCCCCAAATTTATTCAGTGTTTTCTTCATCAGGGACTGTTTTGTTTCCCTCTGACTTCTGGTGGTAACTTTGGTACCTGATTATAATGAAATCACATGACCTCCTTAAAAGAACCTCTTTCAAGAAACATTAAAGCATAGAAAATATAAGAGTAGGAATGTTTAATCCTTGGTTACTAGATGTTTATCATTTTTATTAAATTTACTTATTTTTAATTTCATTTTACATTCCAACCAAAGTTCTCCCTCCCATCCCTCCTCCCACCCTTCCTTGCCTCCCCTCCAGCCCACCCTCCATTCACTCCACCCATCAGGTAAGGGCTCCCATGGGGAGTCAACATAGTCTGGCACATTAAGTTGGGGCAGGACCAAGCCCCTCCCCCTGCATTAAGGCTGAGCATGGCATCCCTTCATAGGGGATGGACTCCCAACAAGGTGGCTCATGCACCAGAATAGATCCTGATCCTGCTGCCAGGGGCCCCTGAGATAATCCATATTTCATTACTGTCTCCCACTTACGGAGGGCCTAATTCTGTCCCATGGAGGATCCACAGCTGTCAGTCCATAGTTCATGAGTTTCCATGAGCTTGGTTCTGTAGATTTCTCCATCATCATTTTGACCTCCCTTGCCCATATATCCTCTCCTCCCTCTCTTTGACTGGATTCTTGGAGCTCTGCCTGGTGCTTGGTTGTGGATCTCTGCATCTGGTTCCATCAATTACTGGATGAAGGTTCTACAATGATAATTTGGGTATTCACCAATCTGATTACAGGGGAAGGTCAGTTTGGGCACCTTCTCCACTATTGCTAGGAGTCTTAGCTAGGGTCATCCTTGTAGATTTTTGGGAATTTCAGTAGCACCGGGTTTCTTTATGTTTGTGTGTGCATGTCTCTGTGAAGATGTGCATGTATAGATTAGAGGTCATTGTTAATTGGACGTTAACGTGGGCATCTTCCTCAATAGTATTCCACTTTATTTTTGAGACACAGTCTCTCACTGAACCTACAGCTCACTTATTTGGTTAAATTATCTAGCCACCAAGCCCTTATCCTCCTGTTTCTTCTTTCTCCAGTGTTATGATTAAAGAGATAATAGAATTTTCTAAGCAGCTGGGCAGTGGTAGCATACACCTTCAATCCCAGCACTTGGGAGGCAGAGGTAGGCAGATTTCTGTGAGTTCAAGGCCAGCCTGGTCTACAGAGTAAGTTTCAAGACAGTCAAGACTATACAAAGAAAACATATCTCAACCCCCCCAAAAAAGAAAAAGAATGTTCTAAGAAGTTTATATTCCTGCATTTAATGTGTAAAAGATTGGAATTGTTTGATTTCCAGATTGAAGATTATGATGTGATAGCCAGCATGATAGGAGCCAAGTGTAAAAACCTCCGGACCCTGGATCTGTGGAGATGCAAGAATATTACAGAGAATGGGATAGCAGAGAAGGCTTCTGGGTGTGTGCTTCTTGAGGAACTGGACCTTGGCTGGTGCCCCACACTTCAGAGCAGCACTGGGTGCTTCACCAGACTGGCACGCCAGCTCCCAAACTTGCAGAAACTCTTTCTTACAGCTAACAGGTCTGTGTGTGACACAGATATAGAAGAACTGGCATCTAACTGTACCAGATTACAGCAACTGGATATATTAGGTAAGGGTACAATATATAAATATTTTTAAGTTTGCATGCAAAATGATGGGTTTTGTTACAGAATTTTCATACTATACACTAATTTACTGTATTCATACTCATTCCCTTCTCTGCAAAGCCCTTCATTACACCATAGCTCCTTTTCTGGTACCTACCTTACCCCGGATAGTACACACCTGCTTTTGCCTTCATATCAAATGTAATCCATTACTCATATTTTCCCTCCTGTCCTCTCTTAAAGTCACTTCTCTTCCTCTCACACTCTCCTCTCTACTGTTGTAAGAATTCCTAGCTAAACATACACAAGTATGTACGAATGTAAATCTATGTACACATCTGAAAGAGAACTTGTGATGTTTGTCTATTATTTTGCTTAACATAATTCTCTTCAAAGGCTTCCTGTAGGGGAAGCTGTAGCCACGCCTACTTAGGGGCTGGCTACAGGTGTGCCTGACCACGCTTGCAAGGGCATGGTCAGGGTGAACTAGATCGAGACTTGAAGGGGACTGCGTTTTCTGTTTCGGTTTCTCTTTTGGGCTTGCGTACAGACTGCTGTTGTGCCGGCTGGCTAGGTTGCTCTGTAAGTAAGGCTTTTCCCTATTAAATACCCTTATATTTCTACCTGACTCTGTATTGGTAATTTCCCACTGTAGCTTCCATTTCATGCAAATGTCAGGGTTTTATTTTCTGTCATAGCTGAATAAAGTTACATGTACTTACCAGAATTTCTTCATCCCTTCGTCCATTGATGGACATCTAGGCTGGTTGCAGTCACTGCTGTGAATAGTGCAGCAATAAACAGATATGAAGGAATCTCTGGTGTGCTGCCTTGAGTGCTTCAGATATATTCATAGGAATTGTGTAGTTGGGTCATATGTTAGTTCTGTTTTTAGCTTTTTGAGGAACCTCAGCACTGACTTCCATAGTGGCTGCACTGTTTACATTCTCACCCACAGAGTATGAGGGTTGCTCTTGCCCGACATCCTCATCAACATTTACTGTCATGTGTTATCATTTATTTGCTTGATGTTGGCCATTCTTCAGGAGTCAGGGATGAAAGTTCCCATCAGCATTTCCTTGATGATTAAAGATAAACACCTTTTTCAGATATGTGGTGGATAACTGTATCTCTTCTTTTGAGACTGCCTGTTCAGTCCATTAATACATTGACTGATTAGGTGGCTTCCTCTTTGGGTGTTCTTTGTGTATTTCTTTATTTCAATCTCCTTTCCAATGTTCAGTTTGGCAAGGATTTTTCCCCATTTTATAATCTGTCTCTTTAATGATTATTTCCTCTGTTGTGCTGAAGTTTTTAAATTTCAGGTAATCCTTTCTGTCAATATTGGAATAAATTTCTGTGATTGGAGTCTTTCTTCAGAAATTCCTTGCCTATTACCTGTATTTTGGAATGTTTCCCTTAGCACTTTCATTCAGTCTTTGGTCCATTCTGAATTGATTTTTGTAGGGGATAAGAGAAGGGATCTAATTTCATTATGCTACAGGTGGGTAGCTAGTTTTCCTAGAACCATTTATTGAAGTGCTCTTTCTAATATATGTTTTTTGACAACTGTGTCAAAAATATGTCATTTTATTTAATAAATATTCTACCCCATTGGTTGTTGTCCTGGTTTGCTTTCTATTGCTGTTGATAAACACTACAACCAGAAGCAACTTGGGAGGGAAAGGTATATTTCATTTTACAACTCTCAGTTCACAGCCCATTGCTGAGGGAAGTCAGGACAGGAATTCGGGTAAGAACATGGAGGTCTGGGCTGGAGCAGAGACTTTTGGGGCATGGTGCTTACATAGTCTTTGTTCTAAATCCAAGACCACCTTTCCAAAGGTGGCACTGCCTACAGTGAGCTGGACCCCTCCTCATCATCATCTTTTAATACAGAAAATGCCCCAGAGACTTTACTACATGTCAGTAAGATGGAAGCAGTCCCTCAGTTGACATTTCTGCCCTCCAGGTTTGTCTAGGTTTGTGTCAAGTTGACGAAAACCAACAAGCACAGTCTGTGTATCTGTGTTTGTGCTAGTACCATTCCAATCTGTTACTGTGGTTCTGTAATTTACTGTTTGAGGTTACGTATTATGATACCCAAGAATTGCTCTTTTCCTTAGGATTGTATGTGTTGATTTGTTTGTTTTGGTCTGTCTTTTTAAATTCTGTATGAATTAGGATACTTTTTTCCTATTTCTTTCAAGAATATGATTGGAATATGGATGGGAATTGCATTGCATTATACAGCCATTTCTGAAATATTGGAGGCTTACAATTTCCATATATAATTGTGTATCCTGTTGTTGTCTAGAATGTGTCAGACATAACTAAGAGAATTCTGGTGGAATTATTGGGTCTTTTAAGTACAAGACAATGTCTTCTGTAAATAAGGGTACTTTGACTTCTTTCCTGTTTGTATCCCTTCTGTTTCTTAGCTGTAGCTAAGACTTCAAGTGTTATATTGATTAAGAGTAGTGAGAGTGAATTCCATTGCTTCATTTATATTTTTGAGGAAATTCTTTTGAGTTTTTCCTCATTTACTGTATTTTGTCTTTAGGTTTGTTGTATATAGCCCTTATTATGTTGATTTGTTTCTTCTGTTTCTAGTTTCTTTAAGACTTTGATCATGAAGGGATATTGAACTTTATTAAAGACCTATTTTATGTCTTTTGTGGCTATGTTATTCCTTTCCTTTAGTCTATTTATGTTTTATATTTGTTGATTTGCATGTTTTGAACTATCCTCGGATCCCTGAGATAAAACCAACTGAGTATAGTGTATGATCTTTCACATGTGTCTTTATATGTAATTTGGAAGAATGTGGGAGATATATTTAATTGGGTTTATTTTGGAGGTGCACACTTGCATGTGGAAAACAGAGGCCAATGTTGAGTAACTTCCTCCATCACTTCTCCATTTTGCTTTTTGAGACAGGATCTCTAAACCTGGAGGTCCCTGATTTGGCTAAGCTGACTGGCCACTGAGCTCTAGGGATCTGCCTATCTGCACCCCAAGCTTAACTACCATCACTATCTCTATCCATAGTCCACTGGTGTTGGAGTGACAGATGGGTACTGTTGTGTCTGGCTTTGTGTGGTTATGGGATGTCCAAATTTAGATCCTCATGTTTGTGTGGAAATCTCTTTACCAACTGAGCCATCTTACTGGCCCCATAATTTGGAGGAATCTTATTGGCAATTGTTGGATCAGAAAAAAAAAAAAAAAAGTTGTTCTGTAGTGTGTTTGTCATTGTTGTGGCCTTATCCAGTTTTAATAACAGGGTAATATTGGCTATATATAGTGAATCTGGTAACTTTCTTTTCCATGTGGTGGAGTAATTGGAGGAGTGTTCATCTTTAGCTCTTCCTTAAGGGTTTGGTAGAATTTAGTGGTGAATCCATCTGGTCTTTGGCCTGACTTTCTGGGAAGACTTTTTTCTTATTATTGTTTCAATCTTTTTGTTATGAATCTAAGTTGCTTATATGTTCTTGATTTAATTTGGGTACATCATGTATATCTTGAAATTTATCAGTTTCTTCTAGATTTTCCTTTTCTTATACATTTTCTAAGCATTCTCTAGTCTTCCTGGTTTCCACTGGTATCTATTCTAACATCTCTTTCCAACTTTGATTCTATGTACTGTTATTTTCTGTTGATTTCTACCTTGATCTCAACTGTTTATCTACTTGTGCTTTTGAGTGTAGCATATTCTTGTTCTTCTAATGCATCAAAGTATCAATAGGTTTTTTTGTTTGAGGGATCTGTTTTTTATGTTAAAAAGGATATTTAAACTTTTCCTTTTAGAATTGCCTGAGATGTTTGCCAAAGTTCTGGTATGTCGTGCCTTAATTTTTGTTTGGTTATAGGATTTTTAAAAAATTCTTTCTTGAGTTGTTCTGTGACTCTTAATCTTTCAAAAGTATATTGTTCAAGTCCCCAAGAATTTCTATAGTGTCTCTTCCTGTTGATTCCAGTTTTATTCCACTGTGATGAGGTGGGAAGTTATTTCAAGTCATGGATATGTTTTAACACTTACTTTGTGGCCTAGAATGTGACTACCTCTAGATGATCTCATGGGCTGATGAAAAGACTGTGTATTCTATTGCTTCTGGTTAGAAGGGTCTGTAGACATTTGCTAAACCTGTTTATTCCACAAGATAGTTTAACTTAGAAATTTCTTTGTTGATTTTTAATTTAGCTTAACTAAAGATAAGAAGAGGATATTGAAATCACTCAGTTTTGCTACATGAGTACCTACCGTATCTTTTATGACCATTAGTGCTTATTTTATGAAATAATGAGCTCTAACATTTGGTGCAAACATTTTTACGTGTATATATTTTACTGATGTATTTTCATACTTACTAATGTGCAGTGGCCTTTATCTATTCTGGCTAGTTTGGTTTGAAGTCTACTTTATTGGATATCAGAACAGTTATACCAGCTTGATTTTGGTTTTGTTTGCTCAATAGATTGACTTTTGTCCTTTGATTCTCAGTCTGCAGGTGTCTTTACCAACTTTGGTAAAGGTGTGTTGCTTGAGCACAACAGATGGTTGTATCTAGTGTTTTAGTCTAGTCAGCCAGCCAGTCCATGTCTCTTCATTGATGAGTTGAGACTAGTTACCATTAAGGTTATTAGTGAGAGGTACTTACTAATTCCTGTCATTTGATTGGTTGCCTTCTGGTTGATTGGGTTATTATCTGTTCTTTTCTTTCTCCTCCATTAGTATTAGGGGATTTTTATTATTGTTGGACATAATTAATTCCTTCCATACAATTGCTATTAAGCCTGTCTCTTTGACCTAAAACCTATCTGTTGACCCTTTGGAAGGAAGCCAAATCAACTTGAAGTAGACATTTGTCCTGATATGACTGCTTGGTAGATAGTATAAGGTGGATGGATACATTGGCCTAGGGCGAGACAGAAGCAGAGAGAGAATGTATTGGTGAGTAGAGCAACGTAATCTCATAGTTGAACTTTCCAAAAGCTTTACATGCTCTAAATAATTGTCAAGTTTGGGTCCAGTCAAAAGTTTACACTTTTTTTACATGAGTATATTCTCCATTTTTATTAAGGACAGAAAATGAATCCTTTGTAAATGAATTCAAGTTAGATTTTGAAAGTTTTTAATGTTAAACTCTTGATTCAAAAAAGAGTCTGAAATCTCTCCCCCTAGCAATTCTAGCTTTTAGGAATTGTCCTACCACAAGACCGATCTGTCGATAATTCTTCAGAGTCTTAGAATTCCATGTATCTTCACTGCATTCATTAGCAAGGAGCTTGCGCCAGAGGTGCCAGCAGTGCCATCCTCATTGCCCACATCATCCCAGAGTGCATGAACTCATAGCGCTTGACCTGTCCCTGGCAGTGTGTCAGTACTGATAAAAAATTACTCTCTAAAGTACTTACATGACCTTTCCTCTTTATTGAATATTCACCAAAGGAAAAACCTGAGGGTTTTCAGCCTCTGGGTTTGGTTTTGGTTAAAATTTCTTGATGTCTGCATTTATGATACATTCCTAGATGGTGCTTATATTGTTGTATATGACTGACTCTAAGTAACCTTAAGCAGGGAGTCATACATAATTTACACACTTTGGACAAAATGTTTCGTTTGTGTTGTGTTGCATTTTACCCTATCTTCCCAGCTAAGGAAGTTGTACCATTGTCTTCTGTAGCTGAGTCCAGCATTTGCAAAGAGATAGAACAATGCCTCAGACTGGGATGTTGAGTCTATAGTCAGTGGTTCTTTGTGCTTCAGTGCAAGTCTCATGCCCAGTTGTTCTCTTTCTGACTTATCTTGTTTGCTATCTCTCTCTCTCTCTCTCTCTCTCTCTCTCTCTCTCTCTCTCAGTCTTATCTTGTTGGCTCTCTCTCTCTCTCTCTCTCTCTCTCTCTCTCTCTCTCTCTCTCTCTCTCATTCCTGTCCCCTCTAAAAAAATTTCCCTCAAAACAGAAGTCAAAAACCATAAGCAAAATACAATAAGACAAAAAACAAGCAAGCAAACAAACAAACAAAAAAGCAAACTAAAAAGTCCACAAAAATACCATGGAGTCTGTTTTGTGTTGGCCAGCTACTCCTGGGCCTGCTACTCTGGACTGTGGTTGATATGCCCAGTGTCACTCCATTAGAGAAAATCAATTTCCTTTGCCAGTAGATATCAATAGTAAATAACTTTTTGGTTAAGAATGGGAGCCTGTGTCCTCTTCTACCTCTCAGTGCTGGACCACATCTGACTTGAACCTGTGAAGGTCTTGTGTGTGCTGCCAGTTTTTCCCTTTCCTGTCTTACATTCTCCTCCCTTCCCTGACCCCTGCACTGCCCTATACCCGTGTGTATTCACAAAGACTTCCATACATGCTTCCATCCTGGTTATGCTTGTTCTCTTTTCATAGGCACCATCCCTGCTTCTCTGGGCACACAATCAAACATCACAGTGCCTGCCCAGCTTTCTACATCCTTGAGGATTGGGAATTGATATTTATGGACAGTAAAGGCTTTGCTGAATCCCAATTCCAGGGGGAATCTGGGCA